GTTGAGTCCTTGCTCTGCTGCGTGATGAATACCAAGCAGCACATATGAAAACAACTAAAAGTAACCATCTTTTCCTAGTTCCAGACTCGCATTCTAATACTTGTGCGTTTCTCATTCACTAACTCAACTGTTCCTACCTGACCTTAAGGCCAGTACTCAGCCTACTAGTTTCAGATTCCTGGCTATTCTATCTTGTAGCCTTCCAGCACCCTGAGAGAGAAGAACACTAGTGGTCTGACCATCAAGCCTGATTACAACTGATTACACAACACATTATAATGCAAAAAGCAACATTCACAGGAATCCCACACACAATGAGAACTGCTTTGTGTTATGACCACAGAGTACTAAGCCAGAACGGGTAATCTGAGGACAGATTTCCTTCTAACCTTTCCTCTTAACTAGGAAAGAGTTAAAGAAGTACCTGGAAGGAGGTGTTGGGCAGAGGCCATCAAACTCTGGGATACCAAAATCTGACTGACTAAAGACTCTTGTAATAATTTTGTTCTTTAAAATTAAAATCAACTCACCACAAAGAAATTAATGCTCAATATAATTATGGGGTGCACAGTCTTGTTGGGGGCTGGTGACGTGGTGCAACACGTGTGTGCGCTCCTGCTAGCCTGTTTGATCCCTGGAACCCACCGCAGAAGTGGAGAACAGACTCACAAAAAGTGTCCTCTGAACCTTCACACACATGCTGTGGCACTCTCACTTTTACACCCCCTCCACACACACACACACACACACACCGATCATATACACACAGACACAATTTTTTAAAACAGTCATTTAAAAATATTTTTGTTGGGCCATGCCTAATGACTTAAATTGGTCATTAGGACCCAAATGGTAGGAGCAAGTTATCATCTGACCTCCACACCCATGCTGAGTGGCAGCACACTCACGGACACATACATTTTAAAATGTTAAAAAAAAGTTAAATAAAACTTGTTTCTTATAAATTACACAATTATATAAATTGACTAATAAATCTGAAGCAACGGGTAAAAACACAACACTTCTAGGAACGGTGTCTGTGCTAAGGCTGAGTGCCTGGGACAATGGAAACAGTCCAACACAAGTGGGAAAAGGTCCACACATTACAAAAACTGAAGTCAGGAGACAGCACCCCCAACCCCGCATATTTCAGCTCACTGTCTATCCTGAGTTCATTCCATAAATCCCTTCACCTCACTGTGAGGAGCATGGTCTACAGAACGTCTCACTTCTCGGGCATTTTCTACGGATTAGTAGTAGGGCACTTGCAGATTTCCCCCTCAGTCCTCAGGGGTCAGAATCATGTTTTCAGTCTAGTTCTGCTGTTTTATCTGAGAAACTGGTAAGCAGGACTTAATACAAGAAGTCATTGGAAGGCTGGGGAAACGGCTCAGCTGGCGAAGTGCTAACTCTGCAACACGAGGATCCGAATTCTATCTCCAGAATGAACATTTAAATAAAAGGATTCTGCTGTCACAGAGCAACTGAGTACTCAGGACTAAGGATGCCGCCTCCAAGAGGCCATGCTTCACAGGGAAGCAGCATAGTTACAGGTCTCCAAAATATTACCTACTACTTCCCTAGTCTGTTTATCTACCACCTTAGTGAACATGTCATGACTGAAAGTCGCTTGTCTTTTCCAGGCATAAAAAAACTCATGCCAGGGGGCTAGAAAGATGACTTAGCAGCTAAGAGCACTAACTGCTGTCACTGGGGAAGTGGGTTCCATTTCATCAGCCACATCCAGCAGCTCACAACCACCTCTATCTCCAGCCCCAGGGATATGACACCCTATTCTGACCTCCTCCTACACCAGCTACCCAACTGCTACAGATATAAACATGCAGACACTCATATATATATACAAATTTTTTTTAAAAGTTCAAAATTCATCCCCGGTGTTGTTGCACATTCTGTAATCCTAGCACTCAGAAGGCCAAGGCAGGATGATTGTGAACTCAAAACCAGCCTGGGTAACAGACTTCCATCTATCCATCTATCCAGATAGATAGACAGGCAGGCAGGCAGGCAGGCTCGCTCTCTCTCTCTCACACACACACACACACAAAGCATGCACGTGGACAAACAGCAAAAAGTCACAAGTATCTAACTGTCTTAATACAGTACATGGATGTTAGAAGAATCAAAAACAAAGATGGCAGTGGGAAAATGGTACCTTAAAAAGAACTGTATATATATTTCTCAAACAACTGAGGTAAAAGGAACACTAAAAAGTGGCTCAAAACACCGACACACACAGGAGGGTAGCACAGTTGGTAGAGTATCTGTCCAGCAGTTGGAAGCCCTGGATTCTATCCCCAAGTAAACTGGGTGTGATGGCTCATGCCTGTAATCACAGCACTAGGGAGGTCAGGACAGGAGTTTAAGGAGTGCAAGCTCATCATCAGATACATAGTGAATTCCAGGCCAGTCGAACCTGTCTAAACAAATAAATAGTAAATAGAAGGTTGGTAACACAAAGACAACAAGGATTTTGGCATGCCTATTCAATTGAATTGTGCTATTTAAAGTTCTTGGTATGTAAAGTTAGGACTACCACAAAAACCTTGTCCTACTTCTTTGGTGTAAATTACAAGACAAATGACTCAAACATGACCAACACAATTCTCTAAATGGCAGTAGAGCTATCCTCACTACTAGCCTGAGTCTAAGATTTAACACCCCACCCCCCAAAGTCTTATGCTGACGTTGTGAAAATCTTTAATGAAATCAAGTCAGAGAAAGGAGTAACAAAATGTTTAAATAGCTTAAAGGCTGTTCCTGTATTTAAAGAAAGTATAAGACAACTCGCAAGTAGTTAATCTTTTAAAAAAGCATTTTGAGTTTCACAAACGTATTTAAACAATATGGCTACAGTAAAGCTTAAACAAACCCTTACACAATGCCAGAAACTAGACTGCCGGCCCAGGATCTAAAAGCTGCCAGCCTAGGCCTAGGTAAGGATATATTGACACATTAGAAGCTATCTTCCCAAGTTAGGCCTCTGCCTCTCTCCGGGAAGCGCATGACAAACCAGGCGTCACACAACTTAAGTCAGCAAAAATTACATCTCAACTTGGGAAACGATGGCCTTACACAAACACAATATATGAGCTAACAGGAATGCATTCTGGGAGAAGGAAGCTTAAAACGCCCCACTTTCCGATCTGTAAACATTTGGCCCATCATTAGATCTGAGTCCTAGATCCCAAGACATGCTTTAATGGAGGCCTCCCTCAACCTCCGAGACTGTTTTGCAACAGTACAGGAACTTTTCCTGCTTTTTCTTAGGTCCCAGGGAGCATGTAGCCCTGCAACTCAATATCCTAAACTGGGAAGGCACAGTGGCGGGGAGAAGTGGAAGAATCCAAATCAAAACAGCCTTACGAGATTCTTAAACTGTTTTAAATCAAAATTCCTCCTCGGCCCGTAGCAAACCCAACCCAGAAATTCACAGCGCGTTAAGAAAAGCAGCATTGCGAACTGCAAACCGAAGAGTTTTCCTTTGACACTCCACTCACGGTTTTCAGCTGTCAAATTACAACTCCAGAAAACACTATCATTAGAATAAAAAAAGGAAACAAAAAAGGCTCTCACCACAGGGGCCCGGGAGCAGGACTTCGGCAGCACCATTTCGAATAAAGGAGAGCAAAGGGAATCCAATCCACTTCCCCACCCCCCGCCTGACTTCACCCCCTCCCGGGGCAGCCAACCTCACCGCAGGGGCTCAAAGCTAATAATAATAACAATAATCATGGCGCTCGCTCCCTCCTCCCCCTCCCAGCCCGCGGTCTGCCGGGAATCGCACCCTCCGACCCCGCCTCCCCGGGGATGCCCAGCCCCTGGGACGCGACTCGCGGGAGCCCCCGACCCGGCCGCTCCTCTTCCCTCTCTTTTCCACCTCCACCATCCCCCCATGCTCATTGTCTGTCTCAATTCAACTTTGACTAATATGGATTCCTCCGGCCTGGGCCCGCAGCCCCCGGCTCCGCCGAGTCCAACGAGGCTCCTCGCGGAAGGGGAGGGGGCTGCGAGCCGGGCCGTCCACACCGCGCCCGCGTCCACACCGCGCCGGCCCCCGCCCCGCGGCCCCGGGCTCCCAAGTTTGGGCCGCACCGGGCCTACAGGGGGCGGTAGGGCCCCCGGCGCGGCCGTGGGGGAGGGGAGGGAGGAGGAGCGCCCCTCCCCCGCCGCCGCCCCAGTACCTGTCATTGAGCTGGTCCTCGGTGCCCGGCAGCGGGTGGACCACGAAATGGATGGACGTCATGGTGCCGCCTGCGCGCCCAGCTCCCGGGGACGAGCCGCTCCCGCTCTCGCCCGGCCCCCCGAGTCCCTTCCCGTCCGCGGATCCCACGGCCGCCGCCACCGCCTCCTCCTCCCGGTCCCCAAACGGAGAGCCGCGAGCGCGCAGGGCCCGCCGCCTCCCCGCCGAGCGTGCGTCCGCGGCCCGGCGGTCCGGCGCGGCGGGCGGGAGGGCGGATCAACGCGCCGCCCGCTCGGCCGGCCACGGCGCGCACGGACGAGGGCGGCCGGGAGCGCGGCGAGCGGAGGGCGGAGGGCTGCCGGGGCGGACGCGGCGGACGCGGCGGACGCGGGGAGCCGGGAGGGACAGCAGCCCGCAGCGCGCGTCACTGGCGACGAACCGCCGCCGCCAGCGCCGCCGCCGCCATCTTCACTTCTGCCCCAGTTTCTCCGTCTCGCAGGCTGGGCGCCGATCGGCGGGGGAGGGGCGGAGGGCGGGACCGCGGGGGCGGGGCTCGGCTCGTGGGGCGGGGCTCCGGGAAACGGGCGCCCGGGCCCCGGCGATTGGGCCGCTTAACGTCGTCGGGCCACGGCGCTGTAAGGCGCTCGCCTATTGGCGCGCTGGGCCGCGAGCCCGCCCCCGGGGCGGGGCGGCGTGTTCCGTAGAGCACGTGCTCGGGAAGCCGGGTGAAAGGGCACGCGCGGCGTTCTGCGCCCCCCACCCCCTCCCATCCCTAATGGTTGTACGTACCCGAATGGTTGCTGTCGTTTCGCGTCCTCCAGCCGCGTTATATTAAGGAGAAAGGTGCCGTAGGGAACCAGAGATGCTCGGCTGCGCACGGCAGTTACGTAAGAGCCTTATCAAAACCTACTAGGGTCCTGGAAGTGGCTTTGCAGCACCTTCTATCACTTTAGACTAGACTGTTTCATCAGCACTGCCATCGTGCAACTTCACAAAGTGTGGAAATTTCCACCAATTTCCTGTTATTCATGTGGTTTTTCTTTCTGTGGGTTTTTTGTTTGTTTTAAGTGTACTTTAATGAAAGATTGTATGCACCTGTTTTGGGAAGAGAGCTATTGCGGTCTGGGGTTTCAGAACTACAACTTCTGGAATCTCTCCCTTGTCCTCCCTTCCCCACTCCCCGAGAAACCAGTACACTTTTCCTCTAGGGCTACTTTCAAAATACCAAATGCCTTTGAAAACCTGAAGCCTCTTCTCCAGTCTGTAACAGTTGTTCGTTAAATCGAGTATACAACAGTCTTACCCAGAGTAGTTTTCCTGTCTTCATGCTTTTTAGCTTATAAAGTTCTTTTGAGCATGCTGTAGAAATTAGTAAATCAAAAGTACACCTTGAGACAGATGGTAACACCTCTTAGTATGTCGTCAGCTCCAGTGTTCAAAGCTGATGTTCCTAGCACTCAGATGAACATCCAAGAGTTGCAGGCCAGCTAGAACTACACAGTAAGACCCTGTCACAATTAATAGCGGTTTGAAGGCCACTGAAACTGCCTAAGCAGCCTATGGCTACCAACCATCCTATAATTGCTTTCATTTTTTTTCCCAAGTCTAGAACACTGCTGGTTCTAGAGCCATACAAAGCAGAATTTGGCTCCTGGTTCTGCTACACAACTTAGTGGCCTTCATTAATTAATTACCCTATCATAGCATTTTGTTGTGCACAGGGTCTAAATACTGTATGTCAAGCAAAAGGATGTGTCAGGCACTCAGCTGTTAATAGATACCATGAAAGGTTTTAACGTGTCATGAGCATACTATGCACTACTTATACCGCTGATATCTCAAATCACAGGGCAAATTACACTGTGAGGTAAGGAATGTCCTTGTTAGCTGGTCGGTGGTGCTGGTGATAGCGCACACCTTTGATCCCAGCACACTGGAAGCAGAGGCAGGCGGATCTCTGGAGTTCAAGACCAACCTTCTCTACATAGTGAGTTCCACAACAGCCAGAAACAGAAAATCCTCTGAATGTGTGTGTATTGGGAGTGGGGGGGGGGGGGGGGGTGTCCTTGTTGCATGCAAGAGGATACCAGAACCCAAACATGGTATGGAAGTGCTGAGGCTCAGACAAAAACCAGTTGATCTGACTCTGATTCCATCATTCTACATCACAGCTTCCATCTAGTAGTTAATAATTTAGAAGGAGCAGAGTCTATAAGACCAGTCCTAAGTGATAGGCATAATAAGTGCAATGAGAGTGCTGTTAAAAGAGGAAAGGGTTCCAGCCAAGAGAATTAAGGAAAGTCATATAAGCAGAGCAAATGATTGTGACTGTTTCAGATTTGCTCCGGAACAGGGCTCACACCTGACCTGCTTTCTTTCTTCCAAACTTGCCTGTCTCCACCTTTCCATTGCTGTTACTGGCCCCGCCTCACAAACCCTTACTGGCAGGACTGGCCTAGTATGAAAGAGGGAGCAAGGCAGGAACAGCTGAGGGATGGAGACCTTAGTGTCAGTGAGCTCATGACAAATAGACTTCCCAGGAGACAGGCTTCGTTAATTGGGAGAATCAAGGCTATTTAAATGTGTGGAGTGGGCAGGGTGGGGAGATGGTACATCACTGGGTGGGGCTAAGGGGCTGGCATGCTTTTAACCTGTCACCTGGCTGCCAGGCTACATGACTACCACAAGGGTGGTAGCGGCTGGGGCCCTTCGGCTGGATGCTCTGGGATGTGCAGGCCCATGGCAGAGAGGAAACAGTCTACTCCTACCAGCCTCAGGCTTGCTTCCAGGCTGATTTATCCACGTCTAGTTTTCTGAACCTAAAATCTGAAGTTCAGTCTCCTCACCATACCAACCACCTAGGGGGTCTTTGATTGGCAACCTTTCTGACACTGCCCTTCCCAACCCCCAGATGACACGTTAAGGGGACAAGTTAGAAAGAAAGAAAACCCCAAATCCTTTGATTTTACCAGTGAAGACTCAGGAGCCAGATGCTGGGGTGAAAACCTCCTAGCTCAGAGAGGCAGAGAGAGTACCCAGCTGACCTTCCTCCTCAGCTCACTTCCCAAAGGAAAAAGCCAAAAAGGCAAAAGCCTGCTAACTCAGCTGATGGCCCAGGAGAAGACCTGCGGGCTCATGACAGTACAGGAGGAGAAAGCCAAACACTAAAAGCCAAAGAACTCAAAAGCTAAAGAGCCCTTCTCCGTGCTGTCTTAAATACCCCTCAACTCAAAGTCCCTTCTTCCTATTAATCCCTCTCGGCTGGTTTCTTGCTCCACCTCTTGACCTAGGGTTAACTTTATTAAACCATATATATATATATATATATATATATATATATATATATATATATTACATATCTATTCATGTATTACATGAAGATAGAGGACTAGAGGTATGGTCATTTGAATAAGAATGGCCCATATGCTCATATATTTGGATGCTTAGTTACCAGGGAGTGGAACTCTTTGAAAGGATTAGAGGCTGTATTGAAGAAAATGTGCCATTGGGATTGGACTTTGTGGTTTTAAAACCCATGCCAGGCCCACTCTCTCTCCTTTTCCTCTCTTCTCTCCACTTCTCTCTACTCCTCTCCTCATTCTTGCCTTGTCTCTCCTCTACTTTCTTCCTCTCCTCTTTCTTTTTCTGCTTTTCTCCCTGCCTTCTTCCTCTCTCTCCTGTCCTCCCTGCCTTGTGGGTCAGCATATTGAACTCTCAGCTACTTTTACAGCAACCATGCCTGTGTGTGTTAGCAGCCTGTGTGTGTCAGCAGCCTGTGTGTGTCAGCAGCCTGTGTGTGTTAGCAGCCTATGTGTGTTAGCAGCCTGTGTGTGTCAGCAGCCTGTGTGTGTTAGCAGCCTGTGTGTGTCAGCAGCCTGTGTGTGTCAGCAGCCTGTGTGTGTTAGCATGCTCTCTGATTGATAATAAACTAACCTCTGAAACAGTAAGCAATCCTCCAAATACTCTCTTTTATAAAGGTTGCCTTGGTCATAGTGTCTCTTCACAGCAGTAGAACAGTGACTAGGACAGAAGTTGGAACCAGGAGTGGGGTATTGCCTTGACCATGCTGCTCACAGTTAGAATGTAGGCTTTGAGACTTTGGACTACAGAAGCAGTTGGATGCTTTAAACAGGGCATGATGGGCCATCCTATTAGGAATATGGAAAACAGGGCAGAGGATGAGTTGAATTGTGGGAGCCCTGCTCAAGAAGTATTAGAGAAGAATAATATTAGTAAGTGGCCTAGAGATCATTCTTATGATACTTTGGAGAAGAATGTACCTGTGTTATGTATGCTCTTGTCCTAAAAATCTGTCCAAGGTTAAACTGAAGAATTTTGGATTAATGGCATTGGCAGAGGAGATTTAAAGACAGCCTAGCATTGACTGTGCTGTGTAGTTATTATCACTCTTATGAATGTGTATAATGATAAGAAAAATCTAGACAAAGAGAATTATAAAATGTACAGTTTGAGGAAAAAAAGCAGCACCAGGAAGTGTAATGGAGCTAAGTCCAGTGCTTAAGGAGATTAAAAAAAGGGGGGGGGAGTTTAAAGGAAAGCTTTTACTAAAGTGGGGCAATACCCCACCCATGTAAGGTTACAACCAATAAAAAGAAATTGAAGAAAATCCTAAGCAGTGAAGGAAACTGTCAACAACAGAAAGGCTGATGTAAACGTAACTGAAAAGAGGGACCAAGTACTACCCCCATCGAGCAGCAGAACTTGGCGGCTTCTGCCAAGTCGATTTAGAGTCAAGAATACAAGAAAAGGGTTGTGGAGTCTCCCTCTGTAGCTAAGGAAAGCCACTGAGGCCAGGTGTGCACTGGGCCATTCCTGTGTGGAGTCCCAGAGAGGCCATTTCAAAGAGTTTGCTGTCCAGTGACTAGGTACTCAAATATATGAGCCTGTGGGAGCCATTCTTATTCAAACCACAACTCTGCCATTGCAGCAGAATGTAAAAGTGGAATCTCTCAAGGGAAGTTCCAGACCCAGCATGGAATCAGCCCAAGAAGTGTGTTGTAGACAACAAATCTGAAAGCAGTTGGGGAACTTTGGCATCAGATATGGAGATGCAGAATTTAGAGTTTGCCTAGCTGGATTTTGGTCTTGCTTTGGTCCAGGATTTCCTCACTATGCTCCATTCCCTCCCTTTTGGAATGGTAATGTATATTATGTGCTATTATGTTGGAAGTATATGGTATGCTTTTAGGTTATGATTTTACAGGGGGTTACAGTTAAGAGTTTGTCATGAGTGTCAAAAGAGACTTTGAACTTTTAAAACAATGTTGAAACTGTGATAGACTATGAGGACTTTTGAAGTTTGACTGAAGGCATTTTTATAGCATGATATGATTACAAGCCCATAGGGCCAGGGAGTGGAATGTGGTGGTTTGAATAAGAAAACCTCCCATAGGCTCATGGATTTAAAGGCTTAGTCACAGAAACAGAACACTGACCGAGACAGGCAGTAAGCGTGTTCAAATACAAGCCCTTTGAAAAGTAAAGTGGAAAGGAAACTGAGGCACAATGGTGCGCACCTCTAATCCCAGCTACTCAGGGAGCTGAGGCAGAATGTCTCCTAAGTCCCGCAATTCAGGGCCAGTCTGGTCTCAAATACTGAGATTATACACACATACGTACATGTTTATAGTTAAAGGAAGTTGTATGTGTAGCTCAACAGCAGAGCACCAGCCTGTCACTTAATGCAAAAAAATAAAATGGAAGAAAAGGGACCAGGGAACTTTATCTCTACTAATCTGAACTAATTCTTTCTTTGCAGAGAATTCTCTCAAGTTAGAAGAATTAAGCAAAATACTTCTTTAAATATACTTAAAAGCACAGAAAAGCTGACAAAATGGTGGTGAATTACTAAACCAGATAAGACTCAGGGACGTGAGTCCTGTGTTTGGAGACAGCTGTCACCCTTTCCACAGAGACAAGCTCAGAAGCTAGGGCCTGAAAGTCCTCCTGACAGGCACTTGGAGGTAAGAGCGGGGGGGGGGGGTGTCCAGGACTCCCCAGCGCAGTGGGAAGTGCTGATGTACCCTTCTTACGTTGAGTTGAACCTCCAAGACTACCCCGCTGAAGGGGCGTTCACTGGGAAGAGGTTTGGGTAGAAGTAGTCGGCTTAGAAGGTGAACACCGTCTGTAGTGCTAGAGCAGCATTAGCAGCCCGTTAGGGAAAGCTCCAGTCAGAATAGAATCTCTGGCCTGTGTAGAGACCTAACATTCCAGTAGGGGAGTCAGTCACCTGGCTAAGGAGCCCCCTCCCCCAGAAAGATGGAGTTACCTTAAGGGATCCTAAAGACATGGGCGGAGTAATTATTCCTTTTTTATGAGATGTGTACTACTTCTTCCCAGAATTCCTGTCCCCGTAGCGCAATCCCTACAAGCCACCATGAGGTTACCATGAGGTTTGTTGAGTCCTAACTCAGAAAGTCACTGTTTTTCTGTTGTTATAAACAATGATGAAAATCCCAATCATTCTCTTTTACCAATAAGGACTCAGGAGCCAGATGCTGGGGTGAAAACCTCCTAGCTCAGAGAGGCAGAGAAAGCACCCAGCTGACCTTCCTTCTCAGCTCAGATCTGGATGGAAAAACAAAACAAAACAAAACAAAAAACCAAAAGACTCACTAGTTTAACTGACAGCCCAGGAGCCAAAAGCCAAAAAACCGAAAGCTGAATGCTTGCTAGCTCAAAGTCCAAAAAGCCAGGGAGCTGAGAAGCTGAAGCCCAAGTTAAAGCCAGAGCTCTGTTTCTACATTCTGTCTTAAACACCTTTCAACTCAAAGTCCCTCCTACTCTTTAATCCCTGTCAGCTGGTTTCTTGCTCTGCCTCTTGACCTAGGGTTACTTTATTAGCTCTAGAATAAAGAGAGCGCTTTGACTAAAGGTGTGTGCTAGGGCTGGGTGAACCAAACCGTAAACACCTGTTTACAATAAACAGAAAGTTCTTGGGTCAAAGGTGTGTGTTAGAGCTCAACCACACCAAATAATGAACAGGGTTTTACAGTTCACAACCTTGAGGTTCACAATGGGATCAAATATCCTGCAACATTCCCCCTTTTTGTCTAAATAAAAAAATTTTCTCTAGCATCAGTAAACTATATACTATCAGGTAAAAACTACATTTTCAACGTCTAGTCCATTAGTAGTACCTTAAAGAAAGTTTCTATCTATCCTATCCTGGTGAGTCCAGAGTTCTGTACCTGTACTTTGTATCAAAACTTATAATACCAATCAAAACATCTTCTTAAATCCTAAAGAACTTAATTTTAATTGTATGATTATAACTATTTGGTCTTCAACCCCATCAGAGACCTGAGACGGATAATATTATCTGAATAAACAGGAAGTGAAGAGCAAGCAGCTTCCAAAACGATAAAAATGGCAGAGACTGCTGGCTGACTAGAGAGCCACCTAAGTTATCTCTATAACTTTGGAGCCTAGTAGCTCAGAATATCTGACAGACTTTCTGTGAGGCAGGTATAATGAAGGACTTGCCTACCTTGTCCTTGCAGAGCTTGGCAGTTGACTTTCCTACATCCAGTTTGTCCAGCTTTCTGTCTGCAGAAGAAGCAGTGGTGTTCCTTGCCTTGACCTATGAGAGTAGATTCAGTAATCTACCCCTTATCCTATTGGCCCTTTATTATTTCTACCCCCCTTGTCTAAATAAAAAGGAATGATACAGTAAAATTATTTACAAAAATTAAGCAATTTTTGCTAAGCTTTCCACAATGTCCAGCTGGGTTGTATTTGGCAGTCTTAGGATTGAGTTTTTTTGAGTTAAGTGTTCTGTGAAATGTTCATGTTAGTCTCATATAAACTCAGCATTTTGAATGTCCTAAGCAGTTTAGTCCGAAGCTGATCTTTGAATGATGTTTGTCAGGTTGGTAGCAATCCCGACTAGACAGAACTTAACAGTCAACTCAAAGATGTCCATTGTTTGTACAGAACCAGGCAGCAGAAGAAACATGGAACAATTTTTCCCAGTGATTGTTGTCACACAGTCCAGGTGGTGGACTCATCGTTGGGGGCCCCATCATCTTCTTGGAAACCTAAAAGGTTACTGTTAGGAGTGATAGAAAACTGAAGCGCCTTAAATGCCATATTCAGCAGATCTCAGAAAGATTTGAGGACCACAATATACTGAGTACATATGAGGTACACAAACTTTTTTCTAGTTACGTGCTTCAGACTCAGATCTGGAAACACATACAGGAAGCTAGATGAAGCTTATTTCTAAAATTAGTTAATAACTACTAGTATCATGACAAATTTTATATATACATATTAATCTAATAGGTTTTGAGATAATATATTTTTAAAAATAAAGTCAAATAGGGTCAAATAAAAACCAAAGGATCATGAGATCAGTGGCAACAGAACAATCCCTTATTTTTTGTTTTCCTCTGTCCCATACCAGACAGGCTCTTCGGATATGAGACAGAGATTTTGGATTTTCCCTCAACAAGTGTGCATGGGTTTAGAGAAGGAGAGAGCCACACTCCAACCCCAAAGCCAGCTTCAACTTTTAATTGAATTGGAACCACATAAAGACCATTTGCCACTGTATCTGTAAAGGGAAGAAAGGACAAGATAGAGGTGGGCAATACCGGTAGGCCAAATTACTCTTCTGTTAGCAAACTTTTTAAAAACTCTTATTTACATTTTTTATATCTTTCTCCTACTCCACCCCGTCCCTTCCAACACCAGGTAGGAGAAAGAAAGCGTTAGTGGGAGAGGGGGCCCAAGTTCCTTTAGCTCCTTCCTGCTAGTTACAGTCTTTGGGTTCCTTGGAGCTAGTCCAGTCCTTGTTTCAGGAGATCTCCCACTCATTGTCTCACAACAGCAACCAGAAGCAGCAAGGGGAAAGCAGCAGCAGCCTTGCTGTTTCTCGGAACTTTCACATTCTCTGGGCTGTGGCATTTACTCTCTCTCCAGAGTCCTCAGATTTAAACTGTCTGCAGCTGGCAAAGGGCACCTCTCAGAGCCCACATGAGGCAAATAGTCTGCTGCTGTGGACTCCCTGAATTAGTCCCCATCCCATACCTGGGACCAAAACAAACACATGTTTATATCCACAACACTTTTCCTTTTGCTTTTTTCCTCAGATGCTGGCTAGAACCTACCCATGCTTTCCTGATGCTCTGGACTTCCTTGCTCTTTCTAAACTCCCCTCCCTGTCATTTGGTGTGTTTATGCCAGTGTGGCTGCTGGTCCACTGTGGGTCAGGTTTCTATGGTAGTAACTCAAACAGCATGGTGCATTTTTTTAAAACATTTTTTTAAATTATTTTCATTTCACATACATTGGTGTTTTGCCTGAATGTATGTCTGTGTGAGGATGTCTGTTTGGAACTGGCATTACAAACAGTTACCATGTGGGTGCTGGGGATTGAACCCAGGCCCATCTGAAAGAGTAGCCAGTGCTTTTAACCACTGGGCCATCTCTTCAGCTCCTGGCATGGTTCATTTTTTTCCCTTCTCATTCTCCTCCAGGCAGCTGACAAAATTGACACCTTGCCTGCCCTATTGATTTTATTATTTTATTTTTTAAGATTTATATATTTATTTTCTATGTAATGTTCTGCCTGCACGTACACCTGCAGGGCAGCAGAGGTTGCTGGGAATTGAACTCAGAACCTTTGGAAGAACAGCCAGTGCTCTTAACCTTTGAGACATCTCTCCAGCCACATTTTTTTTTTTATTATTGTTTTTCAACACAATGTTTCTCTGTATGTAGCCCTGGGCTGGCCTCAAACTCACTCTGTGGACAGGCTGGTCTCAAACTCACAGAGATCCACCTGCCTCTGCCTCCCAAGTGCTTGTCTAAGTCCACTCTTAAAATCTTGTGCTAATGATGCCAAGAATCCCAAAAGATGACCCTGGCTTCATCAGTACCTAAGATCTAAAAGGAAGAAAGCTCAAGAGGAGGTAGGCTGACGCCTATTTTAGCGTCTTGGTGAACTGGGATGCAGACCTACTTGGAACCCTCTGGGAAATCATGGGCTACAACCCACAACTAACCTCCTAAGGAGGGATGGAGGTGGAACACCTAGCCAGCAACTGCAGCTCTCAGGCTGTTCAGGGAGTGTTAATCTGCTGCCATGCAGGGCCTTTTATAATTGTGGCACACCTCGCTTCTAAAGCTGAAGAGTAACCTTAAGAACGCCAAGAATATATACATAACATGGCAACTTACACTCAAAAAAACAGTTTTTAAAAAGATAATAAAGCCATTTAAAAAGGAGCTGGGAATGGTAAAACAAGCCTGTAATCACAGCACTAGGAAAGCTGAGGCAAAAAGATGGAGAGTTTCAGACTAGCTTGACCTCATGGCAAGTCCTGGGCCAGTATAGGCTACACAGTGAGACCCTGGCCCCAAATTAATAATAACAAATAATATTATATTATAATAAAACATGCATGGTACCAGTACCTATAATCTCAGGACTCAGGTAGAGGAAGAAACAGGAAGATCACTTCAAGTTTAAAGGCCTCCCAGGCTGCAAGATGAAGCTAGACAGAGATTTCTAGCAACAACCCAGACCAAAAGAACTTGAGTTTCAGAGATGTCTGTAGTTGAGAGCACATGCTGTTCTTCCAGAAGATATGTGTCCAGTTCCCAGCATGCACATTGAGCAGCGTTCTAATGTCCTGCAACTCAAGTTCCAGGAGATTCCACATTGTCCTCTAGCCTCAGAGAGTACCTGAACACATGTGACGTAGACACACACACACAGAGAAAAATGAAATAAATATATTTTTAAAAGAAGTACTCAGCCAGGCGTGGTGGTGCACAGCTGTAATCCCAACACTCTAGGAGGCAAAGGCTGGCTGATCTCTGAGTTCAAAACCAGCCTGGTCTGCAAAGTGAGTCCAGGACAGCTGGCACGTCACAGAGAAATCTTGTCTCTCGAAAAACCAAAACTAAACAACCAAGAAAAGAAAAAAAAGCACTCATTCTTCAGGTAAAAGAAATACGGTTCCCAGTGTAAGCTCAGAGTGACACCAAGAAATAATGACTAGGTGTGATTGCGCATGCCTTCAATCCAAGATCATCCTGGTCTACATAGCCAGTTCCAGACCAGCCAGAGTAACAGTATAACCTTCTGTAAATAAAAGAAAAAAAGGATCCTGGCATAGAGATCTATACCCATAATTTCAGCTCCCATAGATGCTGAGATTTCTGAGTCCACGATGCTCAGGGGCAGCCTTAGAAATGCCACCTTTCATACAACACAAGATGGCAGTGGGAAGATATGTAGGTATATAAATGTTGACTGAAAAAAGTAATGGGACTTGGACTTCATGGGTAGTTCAGGGAGCACTTGCCTGTTATGTGGAAGACCTTGGGTTAGATCACCAACATTACAGAGGTCAAGGCTCTCATCACAAATACTGATGAGCCCAAGCAGGAAGGCCTGTCTGGGCTGTGGAATGAGTTCAAGGACATCACAGGCAACCTAGTGACGCTCTTTCTCAACATCAAAGGTGGAATATCAGAGTCATTTTAATTTGCATTTCCCTGATGGCTAAGAATGTTGAACAGTTAACTGGGTCTTAGCCATTTGAGATTCTTCTGTTGAAAATTCTGTCTAGATCTGTACCCCATTTTTAATTGGGTTATTTTGTTTGTTTATGTCTAGGTTCTTGAGTTTATATATTTTGGATATCAGCCATCTATCATATGTAGGGTTGGTGAAGATCCTTTTCCAATCTGTAGGCTGCCATTTTGCCTTATTGACAGTGTCTTTTGTTTTTCAGTTTCACGAGGTCCCACTTATTAATTGTTGATTTTAGAGCCTGTGCTGTTCAGGAAGTTGTCCGTCTCCTGTGTCAGTAAAGTCAAGGCTCTTCCCCATTTTCTCTTCTCTCAGGTTCAGTATATCTGGCTTTATGTTTTGGTCTTTGATCCACTTGGACTTGAATTTTGTACAGGATGATAGCATTCTTTTATGTGCTGATATCCAGTTATACCAGCACCATTTGTAGAAGATGCTTTCTTTTTTCTATTGTATAATTTTTGGCTTCTTTGTCAAAAACCATGTGTCCATAGGTGTGTGGGTCTGCTTCTGGGTCTTCAATTCAATTCCATTGATCCATCTGTCTGTTTTAAGCCAGCACCATGTTATTTTTATTACTATAACTCTGTATTAAAACTTGAAATTAAGGGTGGTGCTACCTCCAGAAGTTCTTTTATTGTACAAGATTGTTTTAGACATTCTAAAACAATCGTTTTTCATTTTTCCATATGAAGTTGGGTATTGTTCTTTCAAGTTCTGTAAAGAATTGTGTTGGAATTTTGATGGGGATTGCATTGAATGTGTATGTTGCTTTCGGTAAAATGGGCATTTTTACTTCATTAATCCTACCAATCCGTGAACATGGGAATTCTTTCCATCTTCTGCTATCTTCTCCAATTTCTGTCTTCAAAGACTTGAAGTTTTTGTTATACAGGTCTTTCACTTGCTTGGTTACACCAAGATATTTTAAATTATTTGTGGCTGTTGTGAAGAGCATTGTTTCCCTGATTTCTTTCTCAGCCCGTTTGTTGTCTGCATATAAGACGACTTTTTTTTTTTTTTTTTTTTTAGTTAGTTAATCTTGTATTCAGCCACTTCACTAAAGTTGTTTATCAGATGTAAGAGTTCCCTGGTAGAATTTTGGGGGTCACTTAAGTATACGGTCTGCAATGTAATCTGCAAATAGTGGTATTTTACTTCTTTCTTTCCGGTTTGTATCCCCCTTGATCTCCTTTAGTTGTCCAGCTAGAACTTCGAGTACTTAATTGAGTAGAGATGGAGAGGGAGGACAGCCTTATCTTGTTCCTAATTTTAGTAGACGTGCTTTGAGTTTCTTTCCATTTAATTTGATGTTGACTATCAGCTTGCTATATATTTATTATGTTTAGCTAATATCCCTTGTAGCCCTGATCTCCAAGACTTTTATCATGAAGAGGTGTTGGATTTTGTCAAAGACTTTTTCAGCATCTAATGAGATAATCATGTGGGTTTTTTCTTTCAGTTTTTTTTTTTAATATAGTAGATTACACTATAGATAGATTTTTGTATGTTGAACCATCCCTGAATCTCTGGGATGCCACTTGATTATGATGGATGATCTGACAATTGGATATATAGTACTAATAAGTCTTTCAACTCTGTACTTTAAGGGGATAAATTTCATGGTAAATAAATTGCAGCTCAATGAATTTTTGTTTTAAAAGAAGAAGAAATGGTTGTTTGATTTTATTACTATCACTGTGTATTGAGTTCATATTGAGATAAACAATTTTTAATTAACTAAATGGGCTTAGTTAACTAGCTTTGGTTTTGGTTTTTTGAAACAGGGTTTCTCTGTGTAGTCCTGGCTGTCCCAGAACTCACTCTATAGACCAGATTGGCCTCAAACTCACAGATCCACCTGCCTCCACAGTGCTGGGATTAAAGGCGTGCGCTGCCACTACCTCCCAGCTCATTCATTGAATCCTTTAACTGCCTTCTCATTGGGTTTTTATTTTGCTTCCTTCTGTTTTATTTTATCTTTTCTGTTTGTTTTGGCTTTAAGTGTAAGTTTTCATTCAGAGTTTCTGCC